GTCTAATGGTCCGTGAGGGTGTCATTAGGCCGCCGCAGGGCGCAGTGTCCCTCCGTGGAGGTCTAATCTCTCCGCCCGGGTGTCCCAGATTCCCTGCCCGCCCCCCCAGGTCAGACGGCACTATTCCTCCCTGCAAAGGACGTTAAAAAATAAAGAGCGCGTAGGAACGTGAAGACCAGGATGAGGCGGAGGAGAACAAAGAGTCTGAAAAAACGTTTTTCTTGTTTTCTGCAAAAAGTTCTTGAAATTGTTTTGGTGATATTGCCAATGCTCATCCGAGGATATTTTTTCCATTGCTTTTCAGAGAGAGAGCGTAGGGAGAGAGAGAGAGACATCGATGTGAGAGAGATACATCGATTGGTTGCCTCCTTCAGGCACCCTGACCTGGATGGGGAACAAACACGCACTCGATAGGTGCCCTTGGCCAGGAATCAAACCATAAGCTGATGCTCTAACCCAGTGGTCAGCAAACTGCGGCTCGAGAGCCACATGCGGCTCTTTGGCCCCTTGAGTGTGGCTCTTCCACAAAACACCAACTTCGGCGCATGGGCCACAAAGTTTCAATCACACTGTATTTGCATGGGCCACGAAGTTTCAATCGCACTGTACATGCGCGCCCACTTGTGGTATTTTGTGGAAGAGCCACACTCAAGGGGCCAAAGAGCCGCATGTGGCTCACGAGCCGCAGTTTGCCGACCACGGCTCTAACCATTTGGAAACACCAGCCAGGGCTATGAAATTGCTTTTGAATTATAAACACAACACACTTCCAGGGTGGTTCTCACCTCCTCCTCGAGTTCTACCTACCTACCTACCTACACACACACACACACACACACACACACACACTCACACGACACAGGAGGAGGAGGGGTTCCAGTGTCTTCCTCCCCTGGCGTCTCTTCCGAATCAGTCTGGAGACCAGTGGGCAGTGTCCTGTCCCCCCAGTCAGGGCCTAGAGGGTCAGGGACAGGCCAGCAACGCCCCGGGGTCCACTCCTGCTGCACAGGGCAGACCACGGGTGCGCGGCCTTCCGTCCGTCTGAAGCCGAGGGTGACACTGTGTTCACACACATGACAACGTTTCCATTTCACAAACCTCCTCCTTCAGTGGGCAGCCTGCTCGTGGGGAAGAGCTGGCAAACCACGGGTGAAGGAACCGGCGGAAGTCATTCCCTCTGCAAACATTTGTATCTATTCTGCTACTGACCAGACGTGAGTCGCACAACTGCCACGGCCATGGCGGCCACCGAGCCTCTCCTCGGGGAGGGACCCTGGGAGGACACGTGGACTCAGGCTGTCGACATGCCCACACCCTCATGGGGCCGACGCACGGCTACTCTTACTACCCGTTCAGGGTCCAGCCAACAGTGGGATGCAGCCGGCTCAGGCCTCATGACTCCAACCACAGGAAAGCAGGCCCAGCCTCAGTGCAGACCTCACCAGGCTCCGTGACCAGCCCCTCAAGGAAGCCCTACTTTAAATTCTAAGACGCCAGCCTGGCCGGTGTGGCTCAGTGGCTGAGCGTCGACCTATGCACCAAGAGGCCACGGTTTGATTCCCGCTCAGGGCACAGGCCCGGGTTGCGGGCTCCATCCCCAGTAGGGGGCGTGCAGGAGGCAGCCAGACCATGATTCTCTCTCATCGTTGATGTTTCTCTCTCCCTCTCCCTTCCTCTCTGAAATCAATACAAATATAACTTTAAAAACTTTAAGATGCCAATCACAACACTGTGTGCAAGTGAAGTCACATACGTATAATCTCCCATCGTGCAATGATCACCAGCTCCCCGCGTCTCCAGCCAGGCCAGGGGGTGGAATTCCAGGCACAGGTGCCCCCCCGCCCCATGCACTATTCCGCAGGACAGGTTTCCAGGGCACTAAACGCGCAGTTCTTCAGGGTGCGGTGCGAGTGGACTGGCCAGGCACCCATTGACCACTCAACAGCTATTTCTTGGAATCGATCACATTCGCATCTACGGTCCATTGAGGAAACGGGGGTTCAGCACCAGGGACAGGGCCCCGGGTGCCAGGTTTCCGGCCCTTCCCTTGTGGCACGGAACACCCAGCACACAGCCCTGAGGGCAGACACGGCTGCCAAGCGGGACTCTTTCACGCGTAAAACGCGGCTTTCGGAGCCTCCGTGGCAGGCGGCCGCGCGAGGGGCTCCAGGAAGGAGCCCTCAGGAGAGCGAGATCCACGCAGACAGCCACGTGCCCACCTGTGCCCGCCTGTGCCCGCCTGTGCCGACAAAGCTCGGCTCCTCGCGGGAGATGAAGCTGCAGGAGTTCCCGCGTGGACGTCCCCACAGGCCGCGCCCGGCCCCTCGCCAGCTCCCACGTCCAAACGCACATCCCAGCCCTCTCTGCCTCCCGCCCCTCCACCAGAATCAGAGGAACGGCAACACTGCAGCGTCACGGGAGGGAGAACACGGCCTGAGGCTAGGGCCGCGCCCATTCGGGCATTAGCTGGACGGTCCCTGAGCCGCCTCGGGGCCTTCAGGATGCCACGCGCTTCCGAACACGACCCCACTGTCTTCCCTTAAATGCCCTTCGATTCTGTATGAAAGCGCCAGCCTCGCTCCCAAGTCCAACCCAAAGCTCCTCCCCTGAAGCTCCTCCCCCTGAAGCTCCTCCCCTGAAGCTCCTCCCCTGAAGCTCCTCCTCCCTGAAAGCTCCTCCCCCTGAGGCTCCTCCCCCTGAAGCTCCTCCTCCCTAAACTCCTCCCCTGAAGCTTCTCCCCTGAAGCTCCTCCCCTGAAGCTCCTCCTCCCTAAAGCCCCTCCTCCCTAAATTCCTCCCCTGAAGCTCCTCTTCCCTGAAAGCTCCTCCCCTTGAAGCTCCTCCCCTTGAAGCTCCTCCCCTGAAGCTCCTCCCCTGAAGCTCCTCCTCCCTGAAGCTCCTCCCCTTGAAGCTCCTCCCCTGAAGCTCCTCCCCCGAAGCTCCTCCTCCCTGAAGCTCCTCCCCTTGAAGCTCCTCCCCTCTAAAGCTCCTCCCCCCTGAAGCTGCTGCGGATCCTTCAGACCCAAACTGACCGACTTCACTGGTGTCCCCACCGCCTGTGCTCATGGCCCAGGAAGGTCTGCTCCCTCGCGTGGGTCACGGGGACCTGTGTCTGCGACTGCCTTCCCGGCTGGGTCAGACCTCTCCCCGACCTCAGCCCCATCTCAGTTGTCCGCCCCGGCAGCCGGGAGAGCGGGCGCACAGTCACAGGGGTCCATGCAGCGAAGGCGTGACGGCAGGACACAGACCCTCCACGGGGAACCGGGCGCGTGAACAAAACCACCGGCAGCAGGAGAGGCAGCGTGGGAAGGCCCGCGTGCCCGGCGCCCCTGCCACTCCGCTGGCATCAGTAACCACTGCTCACCTGCGTTTCAATTCCCTGGAAACACAGTCTCAACAAAATCACCCGGCAGAAAGCAGTCCTGGCCTGTATTTATATGAAAATAGTGCTTAGAGGGTGAAAGAGAAGTCACCTTCTGAGAAAAAGTATTTGCAAACTCATATCTGATCAAGGCCTGGGACCCAACGAACTCGTCACACCATCAGGAAACAGACCACGCAGGTAAAGACGCTGGAGACGGGGTGCGCGCAGGTGACAAAGGCCCTCACAGAGACGCCACCGCCGCATGCGTGGCTCCGAGGGGAGCTTCCTGCAAACGAAGCATCTTCTTATCACAGCCCGGCAGCCACACTCCTGGGTATCCGCCCAAATGAGCGGAAACTCGCGTCCACGCAAAAACCCGCACGTGGTGTTTACAGCAGCTCCGTTCGGGACCCCCAGGACTTACAGCACCCAGACGTCCCTCACTAGGCGATGGGGACCCTGTGGTCCATCCAGACCAGGGGCTGCCGCTCGGCGCTAAGAAGAGAGAAGATCTCAAGCCCGAAAAGACGCGGAGGAGCCCGAATGCACGTGACCAGGTGGCAGAAGCCAATTGAAAAGGCCACACACCGTGTGACTCCAACTCCGTGGCGTCCTGGACAAGGAGGACTGGGGACAGGGACAGGCCAGTGCTGCAGGGCGGGGGAGGGATGAAGGCGGAGCCCAGAGGGTTTCATTCTCTGTGACACGTAACGTGGAAACCCAACTGTCCAAACCCACAGAACATGCCACGTGGAGCCGAGCCCAGCGTCGGGGTCTCAAGGACGATCAGAATGGAGAGCGGGGTTCACTCTAAAGCAGAGGCCCTGACAGCACTGCGTCACCCTGTTCCCAAAGCCGGGGGGGGGGAATGGGGGGGCTGTGTCCCATGGCCAGACCCCCTGGCCCCGAGCTGCCCGTGAAGCACCCGTCCCTGCGGTTAGGGCTGGCGCTCAGGGTTAGGGCTGGCGCTCAGGGCAATGCCATCACCCTGAGCCGAGCCCCTTTCTTCCCCCAAATCTGCAAACTGCGGGGAGGAGGCAGCCAAGCGTCCGGGCGCTCAGCTCAGCTCTGAAGCTGGGGCAGCCCGTCCAGGGCCTCGCACCGCTGCCCG